GGCTAACCCACCTAGCCTGCACATCCCTGGGCACTATGGGTAATTTAGCATGGCTAACCCACCTAGCCTGCACATCCCTGGGCACTATGGACAATCTCCCATGGCTAGGCCACTCTAACCTGCACATCTTTGGACCTTGCGAGGAAACCGGAGCACCTGGAGGAAACCCACGCGGACACGGGGGGACCACGCAAACTCCACACAGACAGCTCAGCTGTTTTCATTTCTAAAAGCCTACGATGAAACATAGACCTTGGGAAGAATGGGTTTAGGAACTCAGTCTTTATCTGAGAAAAGTATTCAGCGTCATTCCATCAAATGCAAAGTATCCTACGAGAACAGAATTGGCAAACAGGAAGACTGTTTGACCTCTGAGGCCGTACCTTGCCGGTCTACTGGGTGGTGGTGTGTGTGATACAACGTCTGCTGGCTCTGTCGGATTGCAGCAGTGAGCGGGAGGTCTGACTGCGTTACCCACTCCTGATTCCCATTCAGCATACTCTCGCTCGGCATCGCCAGTGAGTGCCGCTTGGGCACGTCCTTGGTCAGTGTGGCTAACGACTGCTTGGCCTGCAAAGAAGAACAGAAGCTGGGTGAAAGCCTGTGAGGAGCCAGGTATCCGTGTGGGGGTCTGACACGGGAATTCTGTACGGAATGAAAACTACTTTGGGCGGGGGTGGGTGGGGAGGAAGAGGCCGTGCAGGGCTCCCAACTTCATCTACAGCACAATCACCAAATTTTAAACAAAAAGGTTAAACATGTTTCAAACCAAATCATTCAGCAAGGACCTAACACCTCCTATAGTTACTGAGAAACTCATGCAATACTGCGTGCATTCACAAAAACATACAAAAAGTACCCGTGGTCGGGATTCGATTACTCTGAAATGGCAGTATTATAGCTGGTGGGCCTTTGCAAAAGTTACCTCACACCTGTGTCATTACCCATCTGAGGTCCTAAATGAACAATGCAATTTGACAGTTATGGGAACAAGAGTTGCTCTCGGGGAAGAGGAGACACTGCTGAATAAAACCTCTTGGCTGGGCCTCACTGTAACCTTGCTGGCAAGGTAATGGCGCTGGTGGATGGCGATGTTAAACAACAACAATGCCTTCGTTGTTAGGTGGGTGTACGCAGCAACCAGTGTGCCAAAGCACCGTGTACTGTGCCAACACCACAATTAGCCTTGGGCTCGGGAGAGGTGTGGAAGAGATTAAGAGCCCTTGTTTCTGATCATTATCCGAAGTCTCCAGTTGGGAGGCCAACGTGGGGGGTGTGTGCTTGTTGGATGGGGGGTGTGTGCTTGTTGGATGGTCTTGGTGGTGATATCACCCATTATGCAGCATTCACCAGGGTGCCTGAGGCTGACAAAACAGGATGTGGGCATTTGAAAGAGAATTTGGACAGGGCCAGGCACTTTCAAATCTGCAATAGCAGCTGAGAGCAAGGCAAAAGAAATGATTTAACTATCAGGGTGAGGAGGCTGACTGGCTGTTACTGGGGACAAGAACAAGTCTGATCGCTCCTTGCTTATAAAGCAGGCTGATAAGTCAACTGGACCAGCCTCACCACTACACATTAGGAAAAGATACTGCTCAGATCAGGTTAGTTCCTTTAAGTGGGCAACAACTATCACATAGCTTTGTTTATTAGCTCCTAAGACGAGAGGTAAAAGTGATGTTTGGAATCATTCCACTCAAAAACGACTAAATGCTACTTGAAAAAGAGCCGAAGTATTATCTGCAGCAGAGCAGGCTGTGGTGTGGGAACATGGCCAACAGGCAATTGAAAGAAAATATAACTATACATAAAGTATACACTTTGTCACATCTGAAGCAGGGATTGCACATTTGAAGAGGCTGCAGACTGACACATAAAGACAAGTGGCTTATTTCCCAGCTTGTGGAACACACACCTTGTCTGAATGTCCTGGGCCATTGAGGATTCTGCTTGCACTGTGGGCATACAGCTTGGTGGATGCAGGCACCTTTAGCAGCAGATGTTAACCTGGGCCTAAAGGTTTCCAGGCAAACAGTATTTCAACACTCGATCGGCAGTCATTGATATTGTGCCTACCAGTCCACATTACTGACCATTTCACAGATTCCGAATGCCAGAGGGGGAAGGCAAACTAGACTAACACCACATTGAAACGCCACTAAAGCACCTGGAGGTTGGCAACCATTTTGTGCGTGAGTGTGGTTTATTTTGTGTGCTCCACTTTGGATATGGAACTGTTGAGTGCACTGGTTCTTCAACTGCCAGCTACTGGCACTGCCACAGACCCTGAAGAACTCAGGACAGTCAATGTGATTAAACAAACAGTGTGTCCTTCGCAGTGTGAAACACAGACACAGACAGACAGAAACAGACACAGAGACACACACACACACAGACACAGACACACACACACACACACACACACACAGAAACACGCACAATCAGAGACACACACACACAGACAGACAGACACACACACACACACAAACACAGACAGACAGACACACACACACACACAGACAGAGACACACACACACACACAGAAATACATACACACACACACACACACACAGAAACATGCACAATCAGAGACACACACACACACACACACACAGACAGACAGACACACACACACACACACACACACACAGACACAGATACATTTGACATTAAGGTTCTGCAAACTCCCCCAAACTTCAGTGCGTAGCACTGGGCTGCATTGGTACAGTAGGAGGTCCCTGTAAATAGTAAATAGTACAGAGGAAATCACCAACAATGAACAGTTTTGAAATCTGGGACTTCCAGTTGAAGAATAAGTCCAACACCTCTTACTGTCTTCTTCTACTGGCTGTGGTAGATGGGGAACTGCCCAAAACTGAACAATCTAGAAAACTGAGTGGGCAGCGTAGCAACACAAAAGATCAACAGAATGCTTCAGTACAGAGTCTTGTTGGAGTTGAGCCTTTACAGTTTGTGTTTTCTCTCTCCCAGATGCACACAGTTCCTTGCTGCTCTATTAAAAATTACAGCATAAGTGCCTCCGATAGAGAGTTAACACTGGAACCTCCATTATTCAGACGACTGTCACTCATCGAAGCTTGTAGGTTGAACACATGTCTGAGACATGACCTCACTGCTCAGCTTCTCTGGTTTGTTTCTCAACAGTGTCTTGTTGTTGTCGCATTGTAGCACCTTTATTCCTGTGCGCAGAGTGTAGGATATCGTGTGCGTAAGCACATGGTGACTCTCAATGTTTCAACCACCCATTGAGGAGGAGAAAAAGAGAGGACCAAGCTGTGATAGATGATAATGGAAGTTCCAGTAGATACTTTTTCTCATCTGTAACAATCTGTGATTCACAACATGTGCAGAGAGTGTGATAAATTATAATCTAACAATCCTTGAAACAACCTCAACAATTTAATCACTAGAATGGGAATTGGTGTCAATGTCCCAATGATGCCAGGCTCCATTTGACTCCCTCTTTATCAAATATTCCTGCAACATGACTGAGCATTAGACTGAATAAAACATCACATTAACTCCTGAGTCTAGAATCTCCATGAGTAATTCTGGACCGAGGACCCAGTGTCACAAAAACATCCTCAGTGTAGTGGAAGAAACAGGGATAGGCACATTGGAAAGTTGAGTTTGGTTACAGACGCGACACATAGAAAACAAGGGAAAGTGAGGAAACAAATAAAGATCATGGGGTTACCATGATGATGGCGCTGACGGCAAAATCACACAAGAACCAACCAAACTTCCTCGGGAAAATGAAATCTTTTTACTGGAAGGGTTTGATGTTAGTTGTTTTGCTTTGATGAGTTCTATCATTAGAAAATAATATTTGGGTTTTCGGTTCTGTTGGTTGTGGAGGTAACTCAGGTTCCATAAGTTTGAGAGAGTTCTATCAAAGTCTCCTAAAGTTTACAAATCCCACACACTCATGGAAGATCAGGAACTGCAAACAACTAAGGATGGCTGTGAAAAATGGACACAAGTCTAGGTTTGGATTCTGGATTCTCGACTCCATATTCAGTGATGCCAAATGTTGCCAAAATTTGGAATGAAGTGCCTTACGACCAAACAGAATTACACAGGGGAGCTGCCATCAATTCTTCAATTACTGGAGCACCAAGCGACAAACACACAATGGCTCAAGGCAAATGGGACAGGAACAGAAAATTAGTAATGCAAAAACAGAAATGGGGAGGAAAGAGTGAATCTTAAGCAAAATGCATTGATATTGAGGACATCAACCTTGTGTATGCAGGATATAGTCAAGATTGAGGGAGGGAGGGAGGGAGCGGGTCACAGCCGGGGAGTGAGGGAGCAGGTCACGGCCGGGATTGAGGGACCGGGTCACGGTTGGGGAGTAAGGGAGCGGGTTACAGGTGGGGAGTGAGGGAGCGGGTCACGGCTGGGGAGTGAGGGAGCGGGTCACGGCCGGGGAGTGAGGGAG